AACTTTTGAGCTCAGAAACTGAAAAAAAAAAAAAAAAGAGCATGGCCACAAAAGTAGTTGGTGTTATATACTGTCTTTAAACATAGAGGTTAAAGACAAAAACATGCTCCCAGAAGAGTTTAAAATCTGAATTGTTACTACAGTGTGTGCTGTTTGTTGTTTTTGTTGTAGATCTTATAAAGAAAGATACCTTACTGAGCAATGATTCCATAGTTATTGAGACATCAGCTGAACAAAGTCTTATACAACTCACTGAACAAGTGTTGCTTTGGAAACCTGAAGGTTCAGAGTTCCACCAAACTGACTGTGATACTGAGGTGTTGCTCTACTTAATGGGTTATTGGGCAGAAGTTGCTAAGCTTGAGAAAATGGAGAGGTGTACGTATTGTTATTTGTTATACACTGGTTAATATGTTATAGTTAAATGAATTCTGTATAGAATGATTTTTTTGTTCCCTGTTTTAATTAGTGAATAAATTCCTTAATTATAAATTGTCCGTCTGATGCCAAAAACGTACATGTAATAATGACGTGACATCTAAATGCAAGAGGCCATTTGATATTTTCACTGGCAAAACTTTGTTATATTGAGATATGATTTATAAATCCTAATATAAATAAAAAATGAATAAAAGCAGATAAATTTCAAACACTGTTATTTCCTTTGGTATGTTAAAGGGTTGCATAAGTTTAATGTTATCTAATTTAGTGATGCACTACAATATTTTAAAGTTTATTATAAAAATACTGCAGTTACATGTTTGGATCAAAGTACTTAGCTGATACCATAAAAAGGTTTCCTTAAGTAAGTGTAACCTTGTTACTAGATCAAAACTTATAAATGTTTTAATTTTTGTATAGTTTGTAATTACAATAAAAAACCCATAGTCTACCATATATATTCTTATTCATATAGGGTTAAATCTCCCAGTTGCCACCTGGTCAATACCATTAACAGGTATAAGGAAGATAAAGTTTTCTGTTGTTTCTGTGCAAGTGATCTAACCAGAGAACCCATTAGTATAAACTTAAAAGAATTTTCCACTTGCGCCTTCATTGAGAAGATCCAAAAATACCAAACGAAGGAATTACCTTTTACAATATGTGACTAGCACAAGAGCAGGGTTCAGTGCAATCCAAAACTGCTTGTCAATTGATTGCTTTTTAAAACATACTCAACAGAACTGAAATGTTACTAAAACATTTTCACTATCTAAAGCTTAATGACTGCGTATGTGATACTACCCTTGACAATAAATTACCTCTTTAATGATGTGACATATAGTTGGTACTACATTTCCTTCAGCTTTATGATTAGTTCATTCACATGAACATCGTAAAGTTATTTTCAATTCAATTGTTTATGAAGTAGATTGTTCATGAAAGGTATATTATGAAAAGTAATGAAGTCTTTTAAGTATTAGAAAAGCACATCACCACTTGTTATTTTTGCAGGAACTTTGAAAATAGAATGTTCAGTTGCGTGGTATAACTATCCCATGATTGTATTGTGCAACTTTTCATTTAAGATATAAAAAACTTAGACAACAAGGAATAATTTTTATAACCAAATAAGGTCGTGGATCCTTTTTTTTTACTATTGCTGAAATTACAAAACGAAAATCATTATGAGATGACAGCAATAGAAATCTACAGTTGATGCTTATTTTATATGTATTGAAACAATCTTAATCCATCTGTGGTGAAGAATACAATATCTGAAAAAATTAACGTCTGTAAATCCATATGTTTTCAATGATAAACTGACTGAACAATGTCGAAAGATTAAATAAAGAACAGTATTATCATAGAATAAATTGTTTTGATCTGTTGCATTATAATTCATGTTAATTTTTTTAAATTTCATTGTGTGTAATATTAAATAACTAATTTCATAACTTATGATTTTTATAAGATTAATCAGCAAATGATAAACTAGCATCCAAATGTGTATTTTTCATAATGTATAATTTATTTATGTTTCTTATCAAAATTTTTATATTAACTGAGCTTTCTCTGTGACCAAGATTAACACTTCCAGTAATAGTCAATTGACTCAAAAATCAATTATTGTAGTTTATAATATTTGTTATTGTTTTTTCAACAATTTAAGTTTCTGTTTCAGGTATGTCAACTTCACAGCCTGTTGTCCTAGTTGTCACACAAACAGATATCTGTGTTGCTCGTATATGCTTCCGAAAGTCTCACATGTCACAACCAGTTACATATTATGAACCTCTCAATAGACAAAAGATCTCAAATTTAATTGAAGTTGTGAGTATCAACACTTTAGTTTTTAGATGTTTTTGTAATAATTTGAAAATTATTGACAGATTTTTACTGCTATAATGTATGCACTAATGTTTTTTCAGGTTCCAGTGTTTTATACTGTTTACTGCTTTGTATATGGTTAACCCTCAAATTTCCACAGTGTTTTATAGTGTTCACTACTGAGATTATCTTTAACATTCGAATTTTCACAGTTTTATACTGTTCACTGCTCTGTGTATGTTTAACCATAAAATTTCTGCAATGTTTTATGCTGTTCACTGCTCTGTGTATGTTTAACCAAAAAATTTCCACAATGTTTTATACTGTTCACTGCTCTGTGTATGTTTAACCATAAAATTTCCACAATGTTTTATATTGTTTGCTGCTCTGTGTATGTTTAACCATAAAATTTCTACAATGTTTTATACTGTTTGTTGCTCTGTGTATGTTTAACCATAAAATTTCCACAATGATTTATGCTGTTCACTGCTCTGTGTATGTTTAACCATAAAATTTCCACAATGTTTTATACTGTTCACTGCTTTGTGTATGTTTAACCATAAAATTTCCACAATGTTTTATATTGTTCACTGCTCTGTGTATGTTTAACCATAAAATTTCCACAATTTTTTATACTGTTCACTGCTCTGTGTATGTTTAACCATAAAATTTCCACAATATTTAATACCATTCACTGCTCTGTGTATGTTTAATATTCAAATTTCTACTAAGTTTTATACTATTCGCTGGTGTGTGTGTATGTGTTACCCTTCATATCATTCACTGCTCTAACTATGTTTATCCTTTAATTTCCTCCCATATTTTATATCATTCAATAGAGGTAGTGTCTGTATAATGCATCACATTGAATAACTTTCTGTTCTGTTTCATGTTGTTTAAATTTGTTTATGTAAGTTGTGTGTTATTAGGGACTGTGCTGCTATCAAATTTATGAAACTATTGGCAGTTTGGTGCACAAACCTCATTGGTAATACTAGGGTTAATATTTTAAACCTCAATTAATATTTCAACTTCTTCATACATGGTTACAATTTTTATTACAGACACTTGTTTCAGATTAAAATTGTCATTTTTCCAGCATAATAGATAGTTTCAGTGAATATATACTTGAAAGTGTCAGAGACTTACATTTGTATCTTCCAATTAACATGTAAATTTACCATATCAATGACAACCTTTGCCTAGTTTAATATTAGTTTAATAGTAATGTTTATTTCTTGCATTTTTAGAATTCCAAGTAAATTTTAGTAGATACTGTTATTGGGTATTTTAAATTTTCTGTTCTTTCTGTTTAAAGCATTCAACTTTTGTAAAAAAAAGAGCTGATGATATATTCAACAAATAGACACTAAACAAATTTTACTCTATTGTCTATTTAGTGAATGTTTCTCATCAGTGTTATGAGCCTTAAAGCTTATTGTGAGGATATATACTTATTTAATATCTCATAGTAATCAGTGTTGCCTAATTTTCAAACTTTGCCCAAGTGAATAACCATTTACTCAAAACTCAAGGCAAATAAAGTGGTTTCCTTAGAACTTTTGTAATTATGATTCTAAAATATTTTCACCAATTAAAAGAGCTTTTGAGCCTATAGAGTAAGAAGCCAAAAAAATATTTCATTAATCCAGAAGGCGTTTCTTAATGAATTAATCGGAATCAAATGTATTGGATTTATTTAATATAACACAGCAACCATGCCATCTTGAGTTTAGCAATGTTCAGTAGACTAGTCGGGAACTAGTACTGTGTTTGAAGCTTAAGTTTTATTTTTGCTTTGAAATTAACCTTTATATGGTGTACTTTACATAAAAAAAAATAAATATGCTTTTTTGGCTATTTTAATTTCTTTGTAACACCATAATTGGACTTTAGGAGGACATTTTAAACTTCCATAATAATTAAGCTTTGGCAGTACCCAATTCATATCCATTGCTGCTAAACATTTGACTCAAAAATCACCAATCAAGCCATAGTCAACTCAAAATACTTTGTGTCAATAACAAATAGTGATCCAACATTTTTTTTTATTTTAATATAGGTCATTCGAGACAATCTACTATGTGTAAAACTGTCTTTTCTGGATGAAGACAGTGGCCAAGAGTTCTATTGGATCATTGGTACCCAAACTAAAACTTCATTAGGAACATTTCTCAATGTAATAAAAGGACCATGGGAAGCTTTATTTGAGGTTGAATTACAATTAACTTTGGAAGAAAATGTTAAAAGCTGACTGAAGGTTTAATAACAGTTTTTGTCATTCAATAAATTGACCTCTGATATTATGCATATAAAGTATTATATATTAATTTCCTTCATTGTTTTGATATTGAACATATTGGTTACTGTTTTTTCTTAAATATGTTGAACTCACAAAATCAGTAACAACCGTTTTACCTTAATTAATCATTTGACAATAATTAAACTATTTAAATGCATACTAATCATAAAAGTACTGGACAACAAAGGGTTAAATGGAACGAATGTCACTTAATTTTCTCTTGCATTGGTGTTATATAAGTGTAGCTTCTAGTTTATCAGTGTTTCATTTTAGCACTGTCATACTACAATTTTAAGTAAAATTATATATATATTAATTCTTTTCTAATTGTTAAATTGGAAACCAGTATAAAGTGAGAGTCAAACTTTAATTCTCCAGTAACCTAATATTCTGGATAACCATCATTTTCTTGTTTCAAAACTTTCCTGTTAACTTAGAGAATTTTATCTGTGTGACAAATATTTAATGATATAAAATGTTTTGTTTTAGTTAGTGAATTACCAGATATGAAGTAACTAATATTGTCAATGATTTTTTTTTCTTGCTGTATTGTCTAATTGGCTGCAAGTCAATAATCTCTTCATATGGCTAGTGACGAAGCTTAAAATGGTTAATTTTTCATAATCTGGCAAAGTGCAGTAAAAAGATCTTACATTGTACTTTTTTTGTGTGTAGTATTTGTAAAGTTAAAGAAAATGGAAGATTATATATATATAGTGAGTATTTAATATACCATATAAAAAATATATTTTTATCATAAAAGTATTAACATATTTAAAATTTGCTCTGCTAAGTGAGGCCAGATTAAAGAATTTCAGCAAATTATATGTGCAGTTTGGACTGAAAATGTTTTTTTTTCTATTAAAATATAATAATTTTTTGATGTATTCCAAGCAAGCTGAAAGACCTTGTAATTGTGAATAAAGTTTGTGAATATTGGGAGATTTTTGTAATGACAGACTGCTTGAATCTTTGTTTTTCACATATAATCCCTTCTAAAACGTGAAACTTTGGGATTGTTAAGAACTAATGGTGAATCTTTTGAGGTGCATGTTTTCCATTTCCTGCAATTGTTTTGTGATTATTGACCTATAAAATAGCTATAAAAGACATGAAAGAATGGAGTTAGTTGCCAAATGTACTTGAGATGTAGTCAGGCATATGACTTGTATTTATAGTAGTAGTTGTGTGTCTGAAGGTACTGTTTATTATACTTCATGTATAAATTAACAAATGTTTTACTTCATAATGAAACCTAGCGGCTTTTACTCTTCACACAATATCATGAATAGTTCACAAGTGTATGTGTGTATTAGTAATTATGAACAATAAGCATGATCTTTATACATATGTATGTGTATTTCTTGGCTAATTGAAAATGCTGTCATGAAACAGTTTCCAATTTATCTGACCAAGAAGATCAAATTCAATGTCAAACTAAAAAATATGCTTTATATTTATTTTTCTTATCATATACAATTCATTATTTTAATGAGTTTATTTGGAGAAAGAGTGGAAAATCATCAAACAGTTCTTAACTCTACTGATATAATTCCTTGTAGCTCGACTTATTGGAAACATATTAAAACTCTTCTCCTACATACACACACTCACACTTGGGCAATATGGGATACTTTTAAAGTATTCTGGAAAATATTTTTGAGCAAAAATATTAAATGTGTTATGTAAGAACATTCTTGTGACATAAGAAAAAAGAAAACTGAGTATTATAAGGATTGGTTTAAAAAATATTACCTTGGAATTTTATTCTCTATTTTTTGGGAATAGTATTAGAACTTCAATTATCATATACACACAAAATTCAGTCATAAATATGTTTATATTTTGAACTTCTAATGATCATTTTTTTTCTTACTTTTTATACCTAATAGCTTATCAGTGAATTGACAAAATTTTTAATAAGGTTACCATTTGGATAATAAAATACAAGCTTACAATTGTTTTTAAGAAAATGACTAAAGGGTGTATATTTTAACTATTTTGAAAATTTTTGGGGCAACTGAAATAAGAAAAACAAAAACTAGATTAACTATTTTATGCATTTAACTTTTTTATTTAGTGACAGCTCTCTTAGGGCTGAAATTTCTTCAGGGCTTAGAGGGTTAGGGTTATTTCTTTAGTATTGTTACGTCTCTGTTAGTTTGTTAATTTTCCGTTCAATTCGTTCCAACGAAA